GATAAGATAAATAGGTATATTTTTTCTTTTATATAGATTGATTCTAAAAATGTTTAATAGTTATTATTCATTTTGAGAATCAATACATATATAAAAAAAGCAAATGTACCTTTATAACTTATCGAAAAAAAAAACACTTGGCTAATTAAACCTTAAATATAAAACATAATGTAAGACCGCAGATTATTTTTCGTTTTATTTGCTATGATTAAACAAGTATATCAGGAGTCATATTTATATGGTTTATGTTCAATGCTAACTATTATAAATGTTTAGAGCGAGTAAAATAAATCAATTAGTTTATTTCAATGAAAGACTTGTTATTTTTGTAGCTTTATTAACCATCTTATTTCAGACATTCATCAGTGATCCACACACAGTTTTTCTCTTCCTACCTTTAATTTTTGAAAAATGGTTATGAGCCATTACCTTCATTTCATCATTTCTATCCCAAAATGAAATTTTGCCACTGATTAAATGATTGATATTTTTGCACCAATTATTAATAAAAAATACTGCACATTTCTCTGTTATGAATTCTTTTAGTTGAATTTGGTGTTCCGTGCATTGTAAAAAATTTAAATCTAAATTAATCTTTATGATTAACTTTATATATGACAAAATATTTTTTTTATTGCAATTTTTTCTTTTTTTTTTCTTTGCTAATTGTGCTATCCAGCCCCTACAGTATCCAATTGCTGCGGATTTTTCTACTTATTAAACTTTCTGTATTGATTAAATCAATGCATAAATGATCATTTTCAATTTCAACTTCACATTCAGTGGGTATATCATCTACGTCTTTAGTCAATAGTTCTTTTAGTGTTTGCAGACAAACGCTATCATCCATTTCGCAATTTGATCCCACTGAATGTGAAGAAAAAATATTGTCAATAAGCAATGTTTTAAAGGCCCCCTCAAAAGATTGTGCTGTAGGCATCGTATTGCTGCAGGCATGAGCCCTTATTGCCCCAAAAAATTTCTCCAATGCGTCTTGGTTGAAATTTCATAGCAATAATGAATTTATGCCTTTTGAATTCAAATAAATTAAAATTCTTTTGAAGTTTTCTACTGTTTTTATCCAGCTGGACAACGATGGAACTATCCCATGATTAATTCCATTATGAAACCTCATGCTCCTTAAAACTGGAAGGCTTTTGTTCCATAATTTATGATGAGGCGATGTTGGTGTCACTGCTGTTCTATACATTTTCCCCCCTTTTGGTTTGCTAAAGCTGCCATTGACACTGTTGAATAAGTCATCAAAAAACATCAACAGGTCTGCAGTTTCAGTGCATTCTTTTTCAAGAACTCCAAACTCTGCAATGAAAATATAATGTTTGTTTAGGTTTGTAATGGAAAATATAAGTTTTTAGTTTATAGTATGTATGTACTATGTATACCAGAATTTTTTTTTATAATAAATCTGCTCTCAAATATATAATAAAACATATGGACTCTAAAATTTCATAATAATAATAATCATCATCATCATCATCAGCCCTTTTACGTCCCCACTGCAGGGGCTCAGGCTTTCCTTGTGGATGGTTAAGGAGGATGGGCCATGACCCTCCACGCTGACCCAATGCGGATTGGAGTGAATTGACGACTGTAAATGCAGCCGGGACCAACGGCTTAACGTGCCTTCCGAAGCATGGAGTAACTCGAGATAATAATTTTTTGGTCACCCATCCCATGACCGACCCTTGCGAAAGTTGCTTAACGACAACGATCGCGGGCCGCGGCGCTTATCTACTACGCCACCGAGCTACTCTCATAATAATATTAAAAAATATCACCTGTCATTACTCCAATAGCAGCTCCAACAGTTTTACTTAACACCTAAGTGCAGTGTTTCACACTCATTTTTAGTAATAATGATGGCACTACATGATGAGCTGTCAACTTAGGTGCCATCTACACTCCTTTGTAGCCTGGGCATCTTTCATATAATTGTAGAATGTGATTCCACTTAGCAGTACATTCCTTTCCATTCATGTTATATTTTAAATTTTTTGTTAACAAATTATACCTGATCCCTTTTATTAAATGAGGTGGGTCATAGAGTGAAAATACTTTTTGTCTCCAACTTCGAAAAATCCTTCTGTATAGTGCTGCCCTCTTCTCAAATACATTTCGTTAGTCTCTTTTAACAACAAGTTTATATCAGCAATATTTGATGTAGTTTGGTCACATACTGCTGCTACCACCGTAAGACCAGTTTCTGCAATTTTAATAATCATATTCTTTATTAAAGCTTTAAGTTCCAAAGCTTTAAGCTTTAAGTTCTTGTACTGCCACTGCAAAAATAATAGGCCAGTGGCTGTTTATATTTTTTAACAACGCCTCTAATTAAGAAAACAAGTACATGGTTACTGTACTATTTGCTTCATTGCTCCATTATCAACAAATCCTGTGATATTTTTTTTTTATTAAAGCTGATGCTTGGTGCTATTGCCATTTCGTCAAATACCAAGGTGCAGTATTTAAATTTATCTGACATTCTCCTAACTCTGGATTTTAGGTTGTCAAATAAAATTTCATTTATGCCTGCCTTTAACTGGACTTTATACAACAAAGTCTGCAATGTTTGTCTACTAGGTAAAATACAAAATTTTCTTAACAGACGATACGCCTTAGGTGCAGGTTTGTATAATGATAGCGCTAAAGTCTTTTCATCAATGGTAAATCGATGCCCTTGCTTTTTCTTATTTCCATGTGACATTTGCATTCGGCAAAATAATTTTGCAGTAGGTGACATATTTTTGGAAATTATTTGGAAAGCAGAGGTTTCATTAAAGATTTAGCAAGAGCCAATTTTTGTTTAAAGCTCTTTTTTTGAGCTTCTCATTTTTTCAATTTATTCACAATTATTTTATTTTGTTTATGGTCTTTTAGAGAAACACCTGCAACAAATTTCATGAAATGTAAATTAAAGCCTCAAAAATAAATAGTTTCTTTTTTAGCATATTTTTCAGATTTGCAGATTGTTTCCAATTTCATGCAGCAATTTTCAAATTGGATAATTGAGATATATTTTTGCAAAACATACCTTTTAATTTTCTTGGCAACTGTTGTTTGGCAACAGGTGTTTGTGTCTTTCCAAGGTTTGTATGCTGACCTGGAAATAATAACAAATATAGTTATTTCGTGGATATCATTGGCTTATCAGTCTCTGGCTCAAAATATTAAAGATTGGCCTATGTTACACAACATAGATTTGCAATTTTGCACAAAGGGACATTCAATTTTTGTATAACTATATATTGACTCATGAATTTTCCTTTATATAAAAAATAATATTATATTTAAGATGATTATTTAACTATTTAAATTTTCATCAGAAAAACATTTACCAACCTGATGTGCCGGCATGTAGTTGAGAAGGTACAAAATGTGAGGTACATGGCAAATCCGCACTTGCAACTATGTGAGGTTCTCCAGTTGATTGCGCTGAACATGAAGAAAAAAACATTTTATAATATTTTATTTCATAATAAACATTAAAAATTAACATGGAAATTAGGAGCATTATTTGAACAATGGTATAAGAAACTAGCTTTCGCCCACAAGGTCTTATATTGTACATTTAAACCTTCCTCTTGTACCACTCTATATATTGATGAAAACCACATTAAAATACATAATGTTTTTTATAAGAACTCAGCTTATAGAAAACGTATTCATTTTCTACTATTTCATTTTTACTTTAAACTTTTTATAGTTTGAAAAATTATTCACTGGTCATTGTTAATCACATATGAATGAATTTTAATGCATAGCCTGCTGCTTCCATCTTTAAATAGATAGGTAGACATTCAATATGCAGTATTATTTATAAATAATACATTACCTGACATATGAAGTGTAGGCATTGCTATGTTGCAGTCTATTCTTGGGATATTTATAAATATCTAGAAAATGTTTTCCACAAAAATGCATGTTATTATATATTTTGATTGGATCCAGATGAGTTATTTCTCCACCAACATTGTCTAGCCATTTTTTAAATTTCTCTGTTTTAGTTCTAGGGTCAGGAAACCGGTGCAAAGGGATACCTGAGTAACATAATAATATGTATTATTCTCTGCTATTCACACAACAAATTATTAGTCCTTAATTATTTGTATAATGGATGAACAAATAACAATTCTCAAATTGTAGGCACATAATAAGTTTTTAATGAATATTGTATTCTACGATAGCTCAAAGAAAAATACCTGAAAAACATTTGAATTATGAAACTCCACGTATAGGCTCAGACCAAATAAAAAATTTGGTCTGAGCGTATAGGTATAAAAATCGGTTGAAAACTTTGACATTATAGTACAATTCATAAAGTATTTATTGTACAAACTAAAAAGCACTTACCGCTATCCTTAGTCACTGAACATTAAAGTACACAACAACGGTTTTGAGCCATGATTTTTTGAGCAAAGTTCAAATTAAAAACAAGTAGCATTTCGGTACGGGATATTTCAAGACACAATACTAACAATACTAACACAATATATTTCGATTACACGGACGAACCTAATCAACTCAACGTGAAAAGCAGAAAATGTTACAGGAACTTGCAAAAACTAACAAGCACACGGACATTCACTCAATACATTTTCCATTTGCGAAGTTAGTTTTAAAGTTTACCCACAATACCAAACCATTACATACGCGCCATTTTCAATTGATATTGCCATAGTATATTTAATACTACCACTTAAATTAGAAACATTTCTAGTGACAATTCTATAATTACTATATTATTCTGTAACAAGATATATTATTTCAATAATATTAGGTATCATAAGGCTTTTTAACTAAGTTTCAAGTAATAATAAACAAGATTTATTAATGATGCCTTTAAAAATTATCCCCAATTATAAACACATTTATTTATTGGGGCTACACCATGATTTCTATTTTAAAAGCTGGTACATAGATGGCACTGTAAAGTAAAAAAAAAATCGAGTTCTAAGTTTGCATAGCATGGACCGACCGATACTTGCTGTTTTGCTTTTCTTGGTTATTTCAACATTTACAAATCTATGCACAATACTACAAATCAAGCACAAATTTTCAATTCGAGTGTGTTTAAATTTATGAAATTTACTCATAAGTCATAAATTATTGAACATACTATAATGTTAACTAGGTTAGTTAGTATTATATTAAAATTTAATTCCAATCCATAATATAGAAAACTTTATTTACTAAAGCAATCATTCGTTTTCAGATTGCAAATGTTTAGACGGGACTTCAGAATTTTTATTCGTTGCCTATCCGATCAAGCCTCGGACAATAATGGGCAACCTCCGGAATCAAAAGCCGTAGGGAAAAATGTGGAAAAGAAGAATTTAGACAAAAACACAGAAAAAATTCAAGAATTATTGAAACAAATGCTAACACCCCCAAAGATATCTGAAAAAGAATACAGTGAAAAATTTGCTACGGCTCCTGAAAGACCTAGCAAAAGAAAACTAGCCTCTGATGAGATAGAAATGAAGATTGAGAAAATAGGTAAGTAATGTATAAAAAAAAATAGGTTAGGTGTCTGCGAACTTTATTAATTTCAAATATATATTTATTTACCACCAACCAACAACATACATATTTCAACATACTTCAGTAGATTACAGTTAGGAATAAATCTTATATTAAAATATAGATTATAAATCTTATATTAATTTCATAGGTGAAGACCTAATGGTGTTTTTCTTGAAATAAATGAAACAAAGTAACCATAATCACCCATGCAATCAATGTATCTTTGCCAATGCATAGGTAGATTATTGCTAAACTATCTTTAGGGTTTAATGACAACATTTGCCTAAACTATCTTTAAGGTTTAATGATGATTTTAACCCCTAATGAATGTTTTAAAATTGAAATTTAAATTTGATGATTAATAGTCCATTAAATTTCTCATTAGCCAATGCAACAAAACCTATACAAATTTTCAAATTTAGAATATTCATTAGTGCTTTAAAGTCATCATTAAATCTTAATAGATGTTTGTGCAGCTGGCAAAATGTCATATACACTAATGAAAATTTATTTGATGTTATTTTATGGGGCGAGTTGCACAAAAGTCCATTAAAATTTACATCAGTTTAAAGCGCGATTAACCATACAAATTTGACATTCATTAAAGCTCAAACGCGTCATTAAACCTTAACGGATGTTTGTGCAACCGACCGAAAATCAACAAACCCTAATTGGGAATTGTAAATTTTTCATGGCATTTTTTAATAAATGACATTTTTTATTTTAATCTTTATATTCAATTGACACATTATTCTTAAATAATTTGTATGTCATAGATTTAATTCAATTCTTGCAGAGGAAAGTATAACTAAAGCTGCTGGAGATGTAGCTCAGGCTATAGGTGGTGATGTGAAACAAACTGAAGCAGAGTTGTTGTCAAAGGTCCTTGGCAAAATAAACCAAACATCCACATCCTTAAGGTTTTTATTTAAATGTTTTTCATAATAAATTAACCCTATTAACTATTGCATGAATAAATAAATGAATAAATAAATAAATAAACTTTACAGTATTATATTATATAACATAACTGATTCTCTAAATTATTATGTAAAAAGAAAAGTATATATTAGCCTTCTTATAATTTGGGTTTTTCTACATATACTCTAAACTTTAAACATTGCATCTGCTCTTCTCATTAAAATGTAATTTATAATATGCTTCAATGCAAAATTCAAAACATTCTTCCTTTTCCATCCTCCCATCCTTTTACTGAATAAATTCAAAAGAAATAAGTTACTTTTCATGAAAGATGTTTTGTTAATATGTAACTTTTAATTATTGGTTTAGTTATAATAAGTTACAAGCTTTTTGAAAAATTTATCCATTGATCTATTTCGAAAGGGAGTTTTAAAAGTTAGACTAAAATTGCATTATCATCATCATCATTAGCCCTTTTACGTCCCCACTGCAGGGGCTCAGGCCTTCCTTTTGGATGGTTAAGGAGGATGGGCCATGACCCTCCACGCTGGCCCAATGCGGATTGGAGGGTATCAACGTCTGCAAATGCAGCCGGGACCAACGGCTTAACGTGCCTTCCGAAGCACGGAGTAGCTCGAGATAATAATTTTTTTGGTCACCCATCCCGTGACCGACCCTTGCGAAAGTTGCTTAACGACTACGATCGCAGGCCGCGGCGCTAATCCACTACGCCACCGAGCTATTCATACCTACTTGAGATTGCTTTACATTCACCTAATGAGATAAAAAAAGGGGGCAAATAGATATTGCTTGAATATTATATAAGAAAATAGTATATGGGATGTAATAAAATTTATTATGTCACCGGCTTCCAGATTACAAATGATATTGTATCTATTACAGTGACCTTTTAATTGGTATGAAGGTGGATCGCACAAAAGAAAGTGAAACACAACCATTGTCAAGAGGTCAGCAAGTTAAGCGCCTTATTGAAAAACCTACAACAGACAATAGACCCAAGACTAGATATCTGCAAAGGATGAAAAAGGATACTGATGATTCATTGAAATCAAGAATAGGGTAATGTTTTAAGCTACTTCTTATAACAAGGTTTTAAATACATTGAACTGACAAGGGTTTGAATAAGCTTTACATATCAAAAATATAAATGACGAAAATGCCTTAGTTTTATGGAATCTAAGTGCGGAAAATTGGAGCCCACATATCCATAATAGCTTAGCATCTAATTGTATTTATTGCAATTTATGTCATTATATCTTCATAAATTTTTTGCATTTATTTTTGTAGTGCAGTCCAAGCCACAAAAATCAACTTATTTGATGGTGAACCACTAGGCATATTTAAAAGCAAAGCACCCAACTATGGCACCAAGCTGGATACATGGGAATCACTGAAAGAGAGGGAATTAACTTTGGCAACATCACAACCACCAGCAAACTATTTCCAAAAAATGATATTGTGGACTGAACAAGGAAAAGTTTGGAAATTTCCAATTGACAATGAACAAGGTAGTGTGATTTTTGCTCTAATTTTTTTTTTACTTGGAGATGTTTTTTAACAATCTTACATATAATTGATGGAAAGTTTAGTTTGGTACTTGAGATTTTATTTAAATATTTTCAAGATTTAAATTCAGAGAGTGCTGAATGCAAAATTTATAACAGATGATGTAGAATAATTATAAAAAAAAAAAAATGTCATAATTTTACATACACTTTATTTATAGGTTTAGAAGAAGAACAGAATGTCCATTTCTCTGAACATGTGTTTCTTGACACACATCTTGAAGGTTGGTGTCCAAAGAAGGGGCCTATCAGACACTTCATGGAATTAGTCTGTGTTGGACTATCGAAAAATGCTTTTTATACAGTTAAAGAAAAGCAGGAACACATAATGTGGTACAAGGACTATTTTGAATCTAAGAAAGATTTACTCACCGAAGTAGGAGCTTGGGATACTCAACCTATTAAGAATGAGGCTTCACCATCAAACCAATGTTAGAAACCTCATACATATAGTTTATGGTTTTAGTGTAAAAAGGTAATTTAAAATAAAACAAATAAACCTCATTATTCCACTTTATTGCACCTAGAGAAGTACACTTCGTTGCTAACATTCGATAATTCAAATAAATGTGATTTTACCCATAACATTCGAATCCCTTACAATTTAGTGGGCATGCAAATATGCAAGTTTCAGAATTACTTAGCAAGTATTCAATCTTTACCTTACCTCTAAATTACGACATTTCAATTTTCGTTGTTTATAATCTACTAATTGTACAGTAGACTTATCAATCTACTCCCACATTATTTGCGGACGTGAAAGGGATACAGGGAATATACATAAATACATTATACATATAAACACATCTTCGATGTCGATATGACTATAGAATGCTGCCTATCATTATGATTATTACTACAAGTAACTATCCAATCATTTGTCCATAATGTAAAAAGGAACTCATTACATCTAAGTACGTACTCTTATATTAAATCATCGTATACATTAAAAGCCTCAAAAATGTTTCAAATTAAGAAGAAAACAATCAAAATAATTTCACTTAAAAAAAATCACATCAATTTGTACAAATATTACGTGTTTTAATATGTACATAGTTTGTGCGATCCGTTGATTATACATTCGAGATTATTGCTAACATAAAACGCAACACGAGGCTTTTAATAAGCGGAATGGACGTCATTAACATCAATTAAAATTAAGTTAACAACAAAACTATCGTTATTTCACAACTATTCTTTAGAAAAAATAAATGTACCGACTACTTACATTAAAGTTAAAGCAGTATGTTATATATCAACAGGTGTATGAGTATTGTTTCAATCAACAATCGGATATAATAAGATAAAATGTCCCGCCCGCATTCCCATATACACTACAACGCCAGTATATTATAATAAAACAACAATTATTTATTAGTACCAAACGGCGGAAGACTAAAGAAGGAAGATAGTCACAATTTACAATGTAATATAAATAATATATCAAATACATACTAACATATTGAAGTTATATAATTTGGCAAGATTACATACAATTGACATGACGTTGGAAAGATATCTCCTAATATTAATTAAGATTAATTTAAAGAAAATACATAATGTAATTGACTTATTTACGTGAGGTAACCTTGCTGGTTACGTTACACTAATTCTAAACTGGAATCATTGAACAAACTGGAATGGTTTAATCACAGTACGAACTTGTAACAATAATTTTCATAATAAGTAAACATTATCTGCCATTAAAAATGAGAGAATCCAAAACTATCAGACATCAACATATTATGTATTTTAAAACAAAAAGGGATGACATGACACAAACATCTCGTAAATAGTTGTTACAGAACATTTATTTTGCTTTAAATAACAATGAATTAGATCTACGTTTATGGGAGATAAGTAATATTCGCATGTACTCAATAGTATATATGGCTGAATAGGAAAAACCAATTCCGCTTCATTACTTATTGAATTTCGAAAAAAAAAAAACAATTTTAATATATAACAAGCTAGGAAGACCTAAAAAAGATCTCCGACTCGCTTTCGCTAACGGTGAATGTCCTAGCTGCGTCTTACTCACTCCATTCAAAAACGTCTTCGATTGTTAAAAATATAAATGTGCCTATTAATTTCATAGAAACATAATCAATGTTGAATTAACACACATAATTACAATACAGAGATATAAAACAAGGTACGTTTGCACTGACGAAACGTTCACACAAAAAGACATATTGTAAAATAAATTCTAAATGAGTTTCCATTGTAACACAGAGCAAGAATAATATTTAAAAACATAATTTGTGAAAATTATTACATTTGATCAATTAAGCATTCACAGTGCTATACTAAAAATATTCTTAATAAAAAATCCACTTTGTCCCCTAGCACTCTAAGACATGATACGAGCCACAAAGTGAATTTTTAAGCGTTTTGCATTAAGAATAATTTGTGAGAAGTTTCTTATTCAATAAAAAACCCTCATCCACTGAACTTTTAAGGAAAAATAATTTCTATTCACACAATCCGATATCGAACATACAGTCTGACAGATCTTTAAAAAAAACATGTTTAGGTAATATGTATTTTCAATATGTGCGGGCTTAATAAAGACTTCTATGTACACTACTAAACCGTCTCACTTTCTATTTACTATAATTTCTCCAGGTATGCCCTACTTGTCTAAGCCGACGTGCAAAGGGTTAAGCACTGTATCGCTTATCCTTTTCTTTCACTCGGAACCGCCATTTATTAGAGCGGCAGTATCCTCGAGGCAACAATATTAACTTTGATCATCATATCTAGCAATATACATAGAAGTTTTTAACTGATTCCGCCAGTGAAATTACACATCACGGTATGAGATTTCTTGTTTGAAAACATATCTGTAGTAGTTAGTATATTTCTCATAAACTTACAGTGCTTATAAACAAGGTTTAGCGTTGGAGTAAATTTAGGCTGAGAATGCTCTCCGTATTAGTCAAAATTCATATTATTAAACAGAGACTTAACAAAGGTTAACCTAGTACGAGGTTCTACGGGAGTAATATTTGCTCCTAGAAGGTAGTACATTGCTTATTATCTGTGTAATATGAATATGGACTAATACTAAAATTGCAATTTTAGCGTAAATTTACTCTGACGCTAAAGCTTGTTTATGAGTAGGTTTAATAGTAGTTTAAATGACAAAAAAAAAATTGCAGTGTATATTATTAAATTTGTTAATCAATATCCTTTTTATTAACATATTAAAATTATTTATAATTAAAACTTATATGATGACACTTATTTATAACAATCAGATTTTAAACACAAATAAATCAAGATTTCTTAGTTGTTGCTTAGATTATTGTAACCACAGGTTTAAAATTAAAATTACAGCGGTTGAGGTTATCCACTTTCAATTTGTCCTAATTGGCTACTTGACAGAAATATGTTCTTAAAAAAAATGTGTAATTTTTTCATTGATAAAATACAATAATTAGGAATATGCTGGAAATGGTAACTTATATGTAAACGATAGCTATATAGTCTATTTTTTTAATAAATTATTTTTTTTTGTTTTTACTAAATTAACTTGCGATAACATGAACCAATGTGCGGGTCATGACGGAGCATCGTGTTACATTATATTTCAATAAACATAAGTACCGGTTGTAGTCGCAACTATGACGTTGACATTAGTTTATTGAAATGTGACGTCACGGCTCCATGTGTAACCTGACCGATTGATTTTGCGGGAAAATTTAAATGAATATATTATTCCTTTATTTAGCCTATAACACTTTTTGGATAAAAATAAATCTGATAGTGATTTATTACGACCATATGAATGTTTTAAAATACTTTACTCAAAACAGTCAAGTAGCCAATTGTCGGGAAATACAATCGTCAGTAAATATTGAAAATGCAACCGGAAAAGTGACAATTTTATGAGTCCAAAAGGCGCATATTCATTGGTTAATAGGGCCCACATGCGGGGTGCGGTAGTTATCTGTAACACATGCCATAGCACCAGCGTTCAAACTCGACGGCGGAGGACTACTTGATTTTGATACTTCTATTATATATATTTTTATTACATAATTGACCTAGTGAATTCAACCTTTTGTTTTGTTGTGTAATTATTTGCACATCTATTATCTCAGCTATTATGAAATAGATTTATCTTTACATAAAACCCAGTTACAATAAATCCAGTTCTTTGTAATGTAAGTTAAATCAATGTAAATTTTAGTATTTAAAGTTCATTGTGTACATTGTTGTTTTTTTTTCATAAACAAAAATTTAAACTACGAAAGATTAAGCAAGTATCAAAAACGTTTTTGGTTCTATAAACCTGGTGTTAACGTACCGAGATTTTTCAAATTTGCACTTGTTACAATTCACATGCGCAGACTGTCTAACGACCGAACTATTGCCAGTTGGCTTATATTAGTTGTTACTCCGCCTTTGTAATCTCCCCGCATGTATACCGACCAATGAAAATGATCCTTAACACATATTTGTTATTATCGAGTATATTGTCATGTAAAGTGAGGGAATATATAATATTAGAGTAAAAGTTGACACATACAGTATGATGGTTCGATAGTGATGGGGCGGCGCGCGGAGTATTGTCGATGTTATCGTTCGTGGAACGCTCGCAGCGAACACGCTCGACTGGACGGCAGTGTGTGGACGACGCCACCACACTCATTACATCACCTGACAATGTCAATCGCATATATTAATCTAAAAAATGACCACTCGTGCGAATTAACATGACACCTAAACGCCTATTCTATTCTATTTTGTCCTCGAACGAAATTTCGAAATAATAAAAGCATCCTTCGAATATTAATAATGCAACGGAGGTAGCTTTTAACTCTAATGCACAAACAATCTCCACAAATATGATTTTAACATTATTATAATTATTATTATAATAACGATTCGAAATTTTATGAATTTTCATTCACAAACAGAAATATCTGTGTACAATGGCAGTGTCAGGATGTACCTCCGTTGCATCACGTTATCGATAAAACTTTGGAGTTTCATAAGCATTCTGAAAATAGACCAAATTTCGTTTTCGGAGAATGCAACAAGCGTTAAGAGCTCATATTAATTCGTTCTACTTCATAATACATAATATGTAGTGAATTATATAAAAATTATCGGCTGAGTACAACTGATCGAGTAGTACGGAAAACGAATATATATTGCGAACCGAAAAAAAAAATGGCAAGCAAATGGCTACAAACACGACTCCACGTCAGGCTACCATAATATATCAAATTCATTTTGATTTTTAAGTCTACTCTCAAAGCATTAAGGCTTAAAATCGGATGGATAAACTTGACAGATTTGCGTAACCTTACGTGCAGTTGATTGTACAATAATTCAAGTTACCATATTAAAATACGTTGTTGTATTTATGTATAAATGTACATAATATATATATGTGTATGTATGTAGTAATATTTAGTATAATAGGGTTGCGGTCCACAAGGGAAAATACAAATACTTTTGTGTGTGGTCAAATAGCGTGGCAGGCACGACCCAGATTACGCCGTGTGGTTATTCTGCGATTGCCACAACGCGTTGTGAGTTTTTTCGTCAATGAGCGATTTCGATATTTGAGCATAACATATATACATATGTATGTGTATGTATTTTTTATGTATGTATATATCAAATTTGTTTGCTTACTTTGTATACACCGCTTATATACCCTTACAGTGCTAATAATAAACAAGGTTTAGCGTCAGAGAAAATCTACGCTAAAAGTGCAATTTTAGTATTAGTCCAAATTCATGTTATATATAGAATAAGCAAACCTTGTTACCTTCTAGTAGTAAATATTACTCCCACAGAACCTCGTACTAGGTTAAAATTTGCTAAGTCTCTGTTAAATACTATGAATATTCACTAATACTATGTGCAATCTCAAACCTTGTTTATTAATACACTGCAACTTTTTAGCTACGGTACGCTTTTATTTATGGTGTACAATAAAGTATTAATTGACGACCTCCACAGCCGAGTGTCTCGCACGCCGGTTTCAAGTTGTTGCCATCTCGGTCCCAGGTTCGGTATCCGGTAGGGTCAATGTAGAAAATGAGCTTCTACATCGTCACGTGTCTATGTGTTGTGGAACCTTCGTTGTCTCAGATACTCCATAATACTCGCATGTGATATTCGGTCGGTTGCACAAACGTCCATTAAGCTTTAATGACGCCTTTAAGCCCTAATGAACGTCAAATTTGTATGGGTAATGTCGCTTTAAATTAATGACAATTTAATGGACGTTTGTGCAAATGGCTGTAGCCTAATAAAAACAGTTACTCGGTTGCTCAAACGTCCATTAGGATTTGATAACGCCTTTAAGCTCTGTATGTCAAATTGGTATGGGTAATTTCGCTTTAAATTAATGACATATTTAATGGACGTTTGTGCAACAGTCTGATTGCCTAACACAAACAGTTACCTGCAATATCTGGCTGGCCTCGAAGGCGGTGCCGGGCAGCAGCACGATGGGCGCGGCGACCCGCCCCGCCTCCACGCACACCATGTTCGGGAACTCGTCGTCCCCGAAGTCAGGGATCTCCTTCGCGTACTCCGCCCAAGGGTTCCAGATCACTGTGCGGAATTCACAATTCATTCATTATTGCGACATCGATATACACTCTATGCCGATTGTCTCATTTCAAATAAGTAATCTCGTTAAGGTATGGGGATCTCATGCAGTTTAAATCTACTATTAAAAAAATACTTATTAAAAAAACTTAATATAAGGTATCCGATTACATAACAGATAAGAACGCTTGGACTTGAGATGATCCAGCAACTGGATAGGTGATAACTTCTAAACTCATTATCTTGTTTCCATTATTATTAAATGATTATGTTATCATTATTAGACCATAGTTTTTTTTTTCTATCTCTTTTTATAATGTATTGATCTGGTTTTTGTAAATGTCATTACTCTTATTAGAGCTGGTGGTTCCTTGCTCGTTCTTCTTATCAGCCAAAAGACGTCCTGAACGAGTGGTAGGGAAAAAAAATGTTGGACGATTCAAAAGTACTTTTAAGAAGTCTATTTGAATAAAGATTATTTTAACTTTGACTTTGATCGTGAGAGCCTTTTATGGATACGTTTAATGTTGCAATCGCTTTTGGAAACAATTAAGATTTGAACGAACAAAAAACATAGTAAGAGCTTAGATGAATCCGCCGAAAGATTGCATTTAGCATTAAACTATTACGTTTGAGATTTCTTTAAACTTTCAAAGATGGCGTATAACGGTTGCCTTAGACCAGTCTAATTAACGTCAAATCGTCATTCATTGGATATATTTGAAAAAAACGCCGCGTCCGCAATTTGCGAACATGAAGGCAGCGAATATGTTTTAAATGTTAATTGAAGGGGATTGTGATAGACTTAAAAATTATACAATTAGATCACAGATAATACAATTTATCTTGCGGAGATTAAGCAAGTTTCGCATAGATCGTTAGATAAGAGACCAAAACTGTGGCCATGTGCGGCAACTCTTATTTCACCTGCACATGCAGTCGTCAATAAGCGCTAATAGGGAATATGAGTCTGATTCAAAAAGGTTTAAATATATTTTATTACAATCGTTATTGCTTTAGAATAAAGTCTATCTAAATATTTTTCAACATTAGTTCGTTTTCGTCTTGAAAATATTTATTAAAAAGTGCAAAATAAATGCGGTAGCTTCAAAATATTTAAACGCCATGCTACTTGTCAGAGCGGAAGTGACGAAAATGTACACGTATAGGGATGTCGTTGTTACAAAAGTTAACATCGATGCAATAACATCAATGTATTATGTCGCAAAATAAACAACTGATTACAATTTAAATGATTTTTTGGCTTTTATTTCTATTTCACCTAAATTATTTGATTTATTAAAAAAGTCTATTATACTTTAAAAAATCAATTGAATAATAATCAATAACTCAAAATCCATATTGATTTAAAATGTCATATCTCTAGTGGTGTACTTTGACGTCACGACGAGCGCGCCAAAAATTCCGGTGTTTAAACTGCTCGTAGCTATAACTTATTTTCATCAATGATTAATGTCACAAAATTTTAGTTTTTCGATGCCGGGTATTATTTTACAGTTATATATCAATGTAAATTATCATATAAAAACATTTTCCAAAAATGTGCATATTCCCTATTTGCTGTTATTATGGTAACACTCTGTTGTTTCTATGTATAAGTTTCTTTCTATAAGAAAGACTTAGTAAATTTGTATATTTAGTAAAAGTCTTTCTTATAGAATATTAAATATACCTACATCCTATTAATTACTTTACACACTAATAGCTAGTAAAAGTCGATTATTTCTGATTGTTAGATGTATTTAGTGTGGCTTAAAATTTTCTACATATTTTCTGAGGACAAAGGCGCTGTTAAAATACTGATTTCAGCTAAGTCCATCAACAGGTGATAAATAGATATTTATAAAAAATTATAAACATCACTGGCGTATGATAAAAGTGTAACAGAATGTAATCTGACCGGTGTCGGGGAAGTTGTACTTCTGTATCCGCATCTTGCGTCCGCTGACGACGTTGGTGATGATGTGCTCCTGCATGGTGTTCTGGTAGACGCGGTCGGTCCACTCGTTGATGGTCACCACCTCGCGCGTCTCCTGGTACACCGCGCCCTCACGCGTCTGATGATACAATCAACAACTAATCTAACTGATCTGTGACGGATTCGATGCTCGTTGGTGGTTGGTAATTGAAAACGGCTGACCAGGCTTGATAAGTTAGTATAGTTATAGTCTAACTCTAAATAAAAAACCCTTTTCTGGGTTTTATTTTATATGTAGTTTATTATTTGTTTTTTTTTTTTCCAACCGTCATATCATTTGACTGAACTTCTATAACCCGTCTACATCTTACTCTCCCACGACTGCTAGGTTAGCTGGAAGAGATCTCTTCGAGAGATAAGCCCACCTTTGTAACAAATTTATTTACTTGTTTTTTTTATGTAAAATTTTGAGTGCAATAAAAAGTATAATAATAAGTAGCACTTTAGTGGACATTTCACGTTTATCATAATATACGTTTACATGTTTCTATACAGATGATTTATATGATTAAATAGAATTAATTAGATAACAATAATTTTTTGATGAATTTTTCACGAACTAACATTCAGTAAGATCATGTTGCGTGACACGACATTTCAAATTATTAAAAAGTTTAAACTCGCTGGGATTACCGCATAACTTCAAGTTAATGTGAATGTATAAAATCCGTATTTCATTACTTTATTATTTGTATTAAAAATATTCGCAGACAATGACAGCTGTCTGTGACAACTATTTTCGGAAAACAAAAGATTTGTCAACACTCCTGTCTTCTCTATATTTTAGTATGAAGTTGAAACCCTAAGCCTCACAAAAATCCGACCGTCTACCTTTTCAAGCATTTGAAATGTGATGTTGTAGAAAGATGTTCGGAATTCACCGGACAAAGCATCGGCCCAACGCATCTATTTTAAAGAATAAATATAATAATGAGATAGTCCACTACTTGTCTACGGAGAAGTTTCAAATTCTATAGACACATTTCAAAATACAAAATATCACAGATTACATTGCCACAGAGTTGGCGACAAAGATTATGAAACAGATGTGCCACAGTTGAAGTGTGGTCTAACTGAATATTAACAAAATCTTGTGATTTTTTACCAATGGGCAAGGTAGTTAGAAGAAGACCGCGAGGAAGAAGTCCGCTACTTTGTTCAAACCTGAAAGCTTACCTATTCTGTTTCGCCGAAAACGAAATTATAAGAATGATATGAAATTTTCTGAATTTTTGTTCATGGACAAACAAGAGCAGGCCCTCAGAACCATACCAAACTCAACACCACAGTGAGGCTATACATATCGGTAAAGATTATGATAAGATGGTCCACGAGAGAGTTATCCAGCAAGGCTATGACTTACAGCATTAAGGCAGACGACGCGAGAACGAGGAGGTTTGACAAAACCATTTGAAAATACATAACGACGTTTAATTTGATTTCTAGAACTAATTCTTTAATAAGTATATCCTCACAGGTCTATCACCCACCTTGTCTATGAACATGCATCCGTGCATGCCAGTGATCTGACAGCGGCGCACGTCGGGCACCTTGAAGTAAGTGTGCAGCAGCAGCTGGCAGCTGAACGTCAGCTCCTTGCTGGGATTGTACACGCCGATGTTGAAGTGTAACTCCTTCTCGCGCAGGATCAGCCGGTACGTCAGTCTGAACCTACACAACGACATAACGCAAACGTGAATTTAGATCTTACGTTAACGCGTTCATTTTTGCGCTGGGGGCGCTGTGCAAAGGGGGTGGCTGTTCCGGCGAATATATCCAGGTTTTCGTCCGGCGCCTCCGATTGAAGGTATACCCAGAGTTTTTAGTGAGTAGGCCCCCAGCCGTCAGCCGGCCATGATAGTGACAGAGAGTAATGCGTTTTCCCTGGATGAAAAAAAAGGCGCTGTACCGATTCCCATACATACTAAAATCTTAACACTTTCACGATTGAAGACGAACGTTAACGTCAAAAAACTCATACAACACCAAACCCTGAGGTTTCACTAAGGTGCTCACTCCTATACCAATTCGTATCAAGACATGGGTCGACACGGTCAGAACTGTGGGTAATATATTAATTAGTTTGACTCACTGGAAGTGCCACATGGAGCGCGTGAAGTCGTCGTCCATGAGACTGAAGACTGCCTCCACGTCGCCGCTGGGCAACCTCTCCGGCATCTTCTCCACATGCCAGCGCGCCACCCGCGCGAACCCGTGCTGCGGACCGAACGCCCATTGTCCGAATTGTGCTGAAACAATAATACAAACCATTTACTAAATTGCAGCTGCAAGTTGTTGCGGCTGCATTTGCAGTCGTTGATACCCTCCAACCCATAATGGGCCAGCGTAGAAGGTCGTAGCCCACCCTACTTAACCATCCATAAATAAGGCATGAGCCCCTTTTTTTAACGCAGGGAATGTAACCTTTAGCCTTAAAACAGGGGGCCTTCAGTGGGGAATGATGATTTTATCAAGTACTCATTACATCAATGTCCCCACCGCTAGGTCACAGACCTTCCCTATGGATGAAATCGAAAAGCGAGAATGGGCCAGGACTCACCACGTGGATCCAGTGCGGATTGTGAGGTTTTAACGACTGTAGATGTGTCCGGGACCAACAGCTTAACGTGCCTTCCTAAGCACGGAGGAGCTAATGTACATTTTAAGCATACAACAACATATACCCGACCTGTATACCCGACAGTGGTCGGCCGGCGTATAGGTCATCCAAAAGAACCAAATATAAACAACACAATGTTGAAATTTTTACATTTTTCAATTTTCGACAAGTTGATTTTATAATTTAATCTTTCTAAAATTCATTGAAGGTTTTGAAAATTAAATTTGATTTTAAATCGTTTTAATATATATATTTTTTTATATATATAACATGAATATCTAACAAATAACAATATATAAAAAAAAGTTTACACCCCTATAGACAGATACTGGGTAATAAACAACAGATCGACCGCTAATCGATGCTATCAATTGATTAGTTAGTGTTGGAAAAACTTTCGACTGACGTCCACCAAAGTATTCTACAGTCGATAGATCGATTTATGTAGTGAATCTGTCGAACAACGTCGACTAATCTATTCCACCATCGATCGTCGAGAGATCGATTTTTGTAGTGAAACTACGGACCGACGTCGACTTACCATCGATCGATAATCTCAATCTTCTTTCGGTCGACTGGTGTGATAACACCCTTAGAAATACCCATTCCCACTCCACTAGGAATAGGATCGTGGATCTACATCACAAGTTTATAAGCGAATTGTAATAAAAAAACAAAATTGGATCTTTTCTCTACACTTGCTTTTCAAAAACAATAACATATTTAACTATAATAAAGCTAGCAAAACCCAATATTCCAAAATGAGTTATCTTTACCATTGCGAAGAAAATATAATTTTAAAATTACTTACGAAATACGAATGGTATTCCACCGCGTATCGCCCTCTTGCCATCGAATACTGCTTGTTTACTGTAATAAAAGATAATTCAATTTATTGGACATGTCAAATTTATTTGATATGTAATTAAATAGCAGGGTTGCACTCGGTCGGGAATTCCACGGATTTTTTGTTCACAGGGCAAACGCAACGCGTCCGAATTTTCATTAAATTCTCCTGGGCTACCGTTACGCTCACCCACAATTACAACAGCAGTCACTATTCTAATTTTGTTCGGTTTTCTATCTAAAATATAGAATTTCCGAACTCATTATCCTAACTTACAAATTGTTATATAATTCATTTTTTCTTTGGATCAAAACGAGCATCTTTTCTTGCGAAATAAAATGATGAATTGAATAAACACTCGCTTTTCGCTATATTAAAGATTCAAATAACCCCAAACATTGTCGCTTTCCCCTCTTCCTCATTTCGAAGGCAAACAAAAATGTATATCTAACAAAATATTCTCACCATTTTGAAAACGATACATTTTTGCTTCCCGGGGTTACCTTCTGGGACATCGGGACAGACAACCGAAGAACGGGCTGATCATATTATATGTAATATAATTTGTAAATATCGTATAATATATGCTTGTTAATGGGAATTGTTTGCTTCGAAACAAAGATAATAGAATTAAGTGTGATTCAGATATGCATATCAAACTTAACGGCAAATGTACATTTCAGGACAGATATTATATTATTAACCAATTCTATATTCCATTAACGCATCTAAATCTGTCAGATTCATCTTCGTAAAGGTGCTCTCAATGTCAGTGTCGACTAAATATAATAATGTATGAAAAAATAATAATCGATATTGTATTGCATCAGAACTGATACGATATGGGTGAATCAAGCTTAAGAGGCATTTATTGTTCAAATAATTCGGTAAGACAGGAGCGTAAATGCTTAACGATAGATAACTAAATACTGGAAAACATATTAATGTGACAAGGTGCGAAGGTGCCAACAGTGACGCGACCGTGACCAAAGATGAATACACGTTTCAAGATCACAACGAATCCCTTTCTCTATTACAATACAACATTACGCAGAGGTATTCGACAGAACCACAACAGCTTTGAGCATGCAGCTAGCTCATATCAGCTCTATCATTACATTACTCCTTCAGCTCACGTTTGAAACAAGATCAATTTTAGCGGTTGCATTCCAACGCGGCCGGGGCACGCTGCAAAAAGCACCCTTATATTATAAATGCATCAGTGGACAGGTCGGACGCAACAAAAACCAAGTCCGAGCGAGCCATATATAAATTATTTATGCCATTTTTAGCATTTCGGTGTTTGAGAAACGAGTGGACACTGCTGGATATGAACCTACTACCGCCACTTCGACATCTGGGGATCGTTATAAATATACACGTATTGAAATGTAAAAACAAAGACTGTAAATTCAATTTCGAAACAATAAACCTATGAACATATATAGTTTAATTTAAAATTGCTCATAATTTTGAGATGAAACTAGTTTCAACCAGCTATCTTTATCTGTATCACACAGATAAATACAGGTCATTCTTAATCAATGATGTCTATAATTTAATATTTTAGTCCAATGTCTTCATTCAAAAATATTAATTAGTTTCTCATGTAAAAATACAGTTATTTGTAACTTTTTTGCTCCCAATAAAAGTGATTTGCTTTAAGCCCTCTAAAGTACAGACAGGCGCTCTTGTAAAGTGTCAAATCCTAATTCAATAAACAGACTTTAGGTAATTGTGTAACTAGGGTATAGTTATGCAGTCTTATCCATTTTAGTAAGGCAATAAATAAATCGTTAACGCCTACGCCAAAATAAACTGTATTCAAGGATTCCGCAAATGTTCTGCACCTAGAACAATAATGGCTCAACTTTACATTTAATAAGAACACCAACAACATTAATTTAGCATTTCAGTATGTGTATAAAAATGGAATATAATGAATGAGACATGATGTGGCGGGAGAACAACAAGGGGCTAGAGTTGGTAATGTCATTTAGTCAACTTAAGATCACCTTATATGGATGCAACCCCAGGTCCAAGATATCCGTTAACATTGGAACAATGTAGTTTATCAACTTTCTTGGAGTTCAAATTCTTTACAGACACAGTAGTTTAAAAAGTACAAATAGATTAATACTAATTAATACTCTTTAGTTAAGTTCTTAAAAATCTGAGCAAAACACAGCATTCCTACATCTCTCCCCTATAGCCTTTGGAAATACTGAAGATACGGCAAACTAAAGGGACGAATCAAAATAAAACTCAACAATATCATCATCATCATCATCATCAAGTTTTCAGTTATATAACTGAAATTCAGCATTGCACAATCAGCTTGTTTCATATTCAGGCAAAGTGATTCATTAAAATCGTATTAAGTAATTGAGTCCATTAAAAAGGTATAACCTAGTAGGTAATCATTGCAGTCAAACAAATGATCAAGAAAATTAAACTAACCATCACAATATCTGTGACAATACTTTAAGTCACCGGGATCCAAAGGATAGGGAAAGGAGCGGATAGATAAACTTTTAATTAGAGATTCCGGATGAAATTCCTCCATGAACTGTCGCCGGCCCGATACATTCCCGGATCGGCAGCAGCCGAGTTTTTACAACGAACAAACTCGTTCCATTCCATCCTGCGGCCATATAAATAGCCACAATAAATTTAGCTCCTTTGCCAATTGCTTTCTCTCAATAACTACTGTGTCAATTCATTTTTTCATCGAATAAAAGCACGATCATAATTTCATACCCAAGAAAATTTGCACAACATTTTCACCAATTTGGCGAAAAATGTAGAGGAAATATTGTTCTAAGATATTTGCTAGTTCTAATGGTGTAGATAGGTATTCGAACGAAACTTGGGCAAACTACTCCTAAATATTTTTCTACCTATATGAGAGTATATTTATAATAAAGATAACTATACCCAATTGGTCTTTGATCATTCAAAGAACCAACAACACAACCTCTATGTTGTATTAATTAATACAGAAACAACTTACGGTAGATTAATTCCAATCTGTTAATCCGTTAGATGGCTGTCACATGCGCGACAAAGTTGTATAAAAACATTACACGAAGCAATAGCTTTCTCGGCTCTCAAACTTATTGTTCTCGACTTTCATTAGAACAAGACGCGGCATACAATGTTGGGAACATGTCGAGGTGTGCGCGCACCGACACCGCCGCTAGCCTCGTCTTCTGCGCTACCGATGCCAAAGCTCGCTATTATCTACCCGCCAGCCGAGGGCGTTGAACGATAACTTTGTAATTGCATTATACTGCACCATTACAAGCCCCTAACCTGTTATGACCATGAATGGCGTTTCGTTAACATTGGTTCAGCTCAAATGCACGCCTGCGGCATAAACGTGGAATTATTGGAGTAATTTAAAAACAATGCTAGAGCCAATAAAAATGCAAAGTCAACAATTTTTTGCCCATCAACATAATGAAGTTCAGGAATAAAAACTACATAGCATTTGTTCAGTAAGAAGTGATGATAAGCTCTTGGCGTAATTATAAAGTAACGAATTATAAAGTGGTATTCAACAAACCGTTCTATTCATAGGTAATTAACCCTCTAATTTATTTTAAAGCTTGATCTTGTGAAAAACGTAGCTGAAGTGCCAAAAAACGACTTAAAAAGTTACTCAAAGTGCATTAGAGTTAGGACTCGCTGTGTCTCTTTGATGTAGGTACATAATTATTAAGATAGGTCAAAGCAACACGATAAGCCATATATCAAAGTTAGAGACCCGAATGAGAATAATTAAACTAATGGTCGCTCCACACGACGACGTTGCGATTTAAGTGCACAGTCCGTTTGTACAATTTTATAATTTCTGTGGTTTTATCGAACGTGTGTAGTAAAATTTTTTGGGGCAAGCAATCGGAGGCTTTATTGACGTAAGATAAACTGTATAAACGATCTGCGCAATCAAATCGCTACGATAAACCGTTGTCGTGTGGACCAGCCATAAATGTCGCGAACAACGTCTATCAACACATCACTACATGACTTGGCGTAAAAAACCTATTTGGTGTGAATTTTAATCCCAGTATATTAAATAAAATAGGTATTCGCTTGGTGCTGCATACGACAAAACCGGTATGAAATAATTAAAATAGTCGTTCATTCAATACTTAAAAAACTATCATATTGCATGGCGGACTCACTTAAGGTTCCATAGTTGCCAGCTTTATTTTCTACCTGTCTGTCTTACAAAACAAACAAATCTAAGTAATTTTAAATATAATATCTACTTTCCTTTTTACTTTTTAGAAATATTTTATGCCCGGTTATTCTTACTTGATGAGCCTTTCAAATTCGTTGTATCCTATTGCAATAACTCTTACTCAAAAATAAACATAAATACTTTTTTAATATAAATAAAATAACTATGGTTATAACAAAAAAGAAGTTGTTATTGTAGTATACTCGTGTACAGAGTTTTTATATAATTTCGCATTTATTTAATTACATTTGACTACGGAAATACATTTGTTTTGATATTATAGGTTTAACATTATTATGCGTTAGTATATTTGATCAATTTTTACTCACAATGCTATACTAAAAAATATTCTTAATGAAAACCTTGCTGCTCTAGAATCGTGCTAGAGTCCCATCTCAGAGTGCCAGGACCAAGTAGATTTTCAAACATTTATCATAAAGAATGTAATTTTTAGTAAGAGGACACCAGAATAGGATATTATACTGATTGAAAAGTACTTATAAATGATTATCTTAATGTATTTAATAATAAGTCACCAATACAAAAGATCGGCAAATAAAGACATTTCTTTCCCTTAAAATTAATCTTTCTTTACGCCCGCGAAAACGCTGTCTGTGGTATTCATGACGTCATATCGGTATGTAAACAAAACAGATTCAGAGTATACTATGTAATAAATTAAAAATTATTAATCAAACAGCAACAGTGCTATCCAACGATCTAAGTATAAAATAAAAATATAAAGTCAAGAGCAGCACCATCAAAGGAACCCTA